TCAGCTTCTCGAAGCTCTGCTGACAAGCATAGGTCCATTCGAACTTCACATCCTTCTTCATTAACTTATGCAAAGGTGAAGCTATCCTTGAGAAGTCCTTCACAAATCAGCGATAGTATCCTGCCAACCCGAGAAAGCTTCTCACCTCTCGTGCATTGGATGGAGTCTTCCATTCCGTGATTGCCGAGATCTTACATGGGTCCACCTTCACTTCTTCAGCCGAGATGACGTGGCCGAGGAAGGTGACCTCGTGCAACCAGAACTCATATTTGGATAGCTTAGCATAGACTTTCTGTTCTCGTAAAATGTTGAGTACCGTGCGCAGGTGCTCCGCGTGTTCCTCACGCGTCGTGGAGTACACCAGGATATCATCGATGAAAACGAACACGAACCGATCAAGGTACTTACGTAACACACTGTTCATCAGATCCATGAAGACTGTCGGTGCATTGGTCAAACCAAAAGGCATCACCGTGAATTCATAGTGCCCATAGCGGGTGCGGAATGCTGTCTTAGGGATATCCTCCTTCTTGACGGGAATCTGATGATACCCTGATCGCAGGTCGATCTTAGAGAAGACTGTGGCTCCTCTCAACTGGTCAAACAAATCATCAATGCGAGGAAGAGGATAACGATTCTTGATGGTGACTTTGTTCAACTAACGGTAATCGATGCACATCATCATCGATCCATCCTTCTTGCGAACAAACAGAATGGGTGCGCCCCAAGGGGGCACACTATGACGTATGAAGCCCTTATCCAAAAGTTCTTGTAGTTGAGCTTTCAGCTTCTTCATCTCCGCAGGGGCCATGCGATAAGGTGTAATGGAGATGTGTCCCATTCTCGCAACCAAGTCAATTGAAAAATCTACCTCCCTCGGGGGTGGTAGACCTGGCAGCTCGTCTGGAAAAACGTCTAAGAAATCGCACACCGTAGGCATTTCCTCCCGTCGGGGTGCCTCTAGTTGCGTGTCACGAATGGTGCATAGAAAGGCCTCACATTTCTTGCGTATGAGACAACGAGCTTGCATATACGAGATGAATTTGGGAGCTTTCGGGAATAGCTCACCGCGGATTAGTACTTCACTTCCATCTTTGGGTTTCAAGCGTACTGTATGCGTGCTACAATCAACCACAGCTTGATTGGCTGTGAGCCAATCCATGCCCAAGATGACATCAAATTCTCGATGTGGAAGCTCGATCAGATTTGCAGGGAAACTCTTCTCATGGACAACTAACGGACAGTTAGGATAAATATGGTTGAGTCGTAGATTGTGTCCCAACGAATTATACACAATTACCGGATTCTCTAGGTTCTCTCTCAGAACGTCTAACAGAATAGGCATAGATGTACAAAAATACGACAAAGTGGAACCTGGATCAATCAAGGCAGATATGGATGTATCAAATAAGGTGATCATACCCACAATCACGTCGTGAGCGGGCTGCTCAATACGTCCATGCATCGCATAAGTGCGGGTTGGAGCCCTCTCAAACTGAGTGATTTATGCCGACCTCTTTGGTTAGCTAGACGCCGCTTCCGACTTCTGGCTCGGAGCGGGCTGGGCGGCTGGAGCTGCGGCCATGGGTGCTATCGTGAGTGCCTCACTAGGGTTCGTCGGGCAATTCCTACGGAAATGCCCAGCTTGTCCACACCCAAGGCATAAGCCCTGAGTGAACCAACACTCACCGGGATGCCTCCAACCATAGAGGGTGCAGATTGGGTTCTGGTATCCGCTCTCGCTCAAGCTTTTCCCGCTCTTCTAGGCGGGCGCTGATGACGGGGCCGGTGATGACTTGGCTTTCTTGCTCGTGTGCGAGCTCCTCAGCGCGGGGAGAGGCCTCTTGCTGCTCGAACTGGGCCTAGGTGGTGGAGGTAGACGAGGATGCGTCGTTTGGTCCTGCTCGTATTCGGCATTCTTGTGTAAAGCCACATTAAGCTCTAACGCCTGCTTGTACATGGCGTTGATGTCGTGCCTGGGCGCAGAGACCAACCCAGGGAATAGGTCAGGGCGTAGACCCTCCATGAAGTGCTTGCATCACTTCTCCATCGTCGGTACGAGATCTCGGCCAGCTTGTCGAACTTCTGACGATACTCTGGAAGTGTAAGTTCACCCTAGGTGAACTTCATAAACTCGTCCCGCTTCTCCTCCATAAAATGGTCGGGCACGTACTCCATCAAAAGTTGCCAACGGCACTAGCTCCGGGACGTTCATTCCCGCACGCTTCCTCTAATCGTAGGCGGCATCCTGATGTAGGGTGAAGGCTAGGTCACCCCGCTGCTCCATTGGAACCTGCAGGGTTCCAAGAACTCGACTTATGCGCTCGAGCCAGCGTTTAGCAACCATGAGGCCAGTTATCTGGTCGCCACGGAACTCCTCTGCTCAGCTCTTCTTCAACTTCTCAATGGTGACCACCACCACCTGAGGCGGCAGCGGTGGTGGTACGTATGCCCCCGCCATCTACTAGAGGAGGTTGAGCATGTTGGCCACCAGCTGCGGCTAGGGATGGCAACGGGTCGGGTTCGGTCGGGTTTGAGTATCTTGAAACCCGACCCGACTTCGGTCGGGTTCGGGTTTGATTTGGCGGGTTGGTTTCGGATAGTTATTTTTTCGGTTTTAGATTCGGTTTAAGATTCAGTCGGGTCGGTTACGGTCAACTTCGGGTTTGAATACTAATAAAAGTTTTCATGAAAATTTTAAGATTGAAATTCATTATAAATTTAAAATTTTAAAGACAACTATAAATTTAAGATATTAACAAAAATCATTATGACCCTTAAAAAAATAAATAGTAAGTTTCAAATAATAATATACGAATTACAAAGAAAATAACATATGTATGACACAAAAGATTAAACTACAATAAAAATGAAATGCAAAAAGTGCAATAAATTTTAAAACATTAAAAATATGTACATCAAAAATTCATGGAATATAGGAATTTAGGGTTTTAATAACATATTAAAAGTCGGGTACATGTCGGGTACAGGTCGGGTCGGTCAAATATACTAACCCAAACCCGACCCGACAAAAGTCGGGTTCGGTTTAAATTTTTTCGGGTCGGTTTCGGAAATTTGATTTTTCGGTTCGGATTCGGATATTACAAGCTCCGGTCGGGTCGGTAAAAGTCGGATTCGGGTAGAATTGCCATCCCTAGCTGCGGCTGCAGAATAGGAATTGCTTGCGGTACAGTGATCGGTTGCGGAACCTGGGCTCTAGAGCCTCCTACTGAGGTGTGAAGCTTGACGCTTCAATATCTAGTGACCAGCTTGTCCGTGCTCGGGAGCTTGACTCATCTCCTTTTTGGAAGGAGATTTTCTAAGAGGGTTAAGTAATAATAATTACTAAAATGATAACGGTTACCTTCCCGGGTGGAGATGCGAAGCGGGATGCGACACGGGATCCTGAACAAAATGTTTTTCAAACTCTCACTCAAGAATCCACAGGCAACCAACTCTGACTCAAGAATTGCTCTATGATAATCGATTATCAGTGGAACCAACTCTAACTCAAGAATTGCTCTGTGATAATCGTTTATCAGTGGAACCAACTCTGACTCAAGAACCCACAGGGTCTGATAATCGATTATCACTTATAGGATAATCGATTGTCACACTCTGATGTTTAAACGGGGAGTCCACCGTGGCATGATAATCGATTATCACTTCGTGTCAATCGATTATCAAGGCACACGGATTCTGATTTTGACGGTCTAATTGTAATCGATACGTTGAAAGTTTTGAAATGAACATTTATGTTTTCTTGTAAGGTAGTCCATGAGTTTACGGAGTTTCAAAACGTCTATATTAATAAGTTCGTAAACGTAAAAGTTTAAGTAACGGAAAAGCCATGATAATGCGGACACACATAGGTTTAGCTGGGTAATCCTGTGAATATAACAATATGAATGAACTACGAATTTTAAAGTTATAGGGGCAACGTACTCACCTCTAACGCAGGGATTGACAGAAGGTACAGAATGAACAAACGGATGGCAACAACGAACAACGAATGGTTCTCGTGGACATCTCCTTCTCTTCTTCCTCCTCGTCTTCTCTCTGGAATTGTCTCCCTGGGCTGCTGCTGCTTGGCCAAACAAGAGAAGAGAGAAGGGAGTTGAGTATGTGAATGCTTGGGGGGGTTACAAATGGTGAAGGAGGTGAATGGAAGAGAGAGTTTTATAATAAAAGAATTAATGGTGAATAATGATAGAATTAAAGTTGAGAAATGAGTGGGGAGGTGTGGGTGGCATGATGTTTTAATTAGGGAGTTACCTCCCTAATTTCCATTCTGTTGTATAAAATCTAACCTGAACAGTACGTGGTTTTCCCCCGAACGGGTCCGAATCGAGATCTGTTTGCATTTCTGGAATCACACAGTCAAGACGAATATTATGACATGATCAAATAATTTTTCTAAGGATTTTATTTTTCCCAACCCTGGTCCGAGTTAGTAATTAATTAATTTAATTAATCAATTCTAGTAGACCGGGTCTCAGGGCGTTACATTGATTATACCTCGAGTCTCGGGTATAACACGCCATCTGTCCGTGGTGCGGGCCGTGCTTCTTCCCGCGGCGCTGCAAAATTCACCCCCATCAATTGTAAGTGCTCTAAGAGCTTGTTCTCTTCAACACGATCTTATTGGAATCAAATTATTCTTTCGTGGTCTTTAGCTCCACATGTGAAATATGGAGCTTCTCCATCTCTTTCATGGACCTGTAAATGAATATTTTTTTGCAAAATGTCCAATTTTTTATGATATCAATGCACTAAGTTTTATAAAATGGGTATGGATCTTAAGATCACGTAAAAATTGTCATTAGAAATAGATCAAATGAACCATATCGAAAAACAAATTTAAATATAACTACAATCAAATCAGATCAAATCATAATTTATTTAATCAGAATCAATATAAAAAGAATAAGGCCTAATCACTTTAACCCTTCTCGCCCTTGAAATTAACCTTTTCTCTCATGTACTGTTTACGGGCCCAGATTGGGTTCACGCCTAATATAACTTCGTGTTTGGCTGCCATCTTCCCTGCTCATCTTCAATTAATTCAAGCATTAATCCTCCATTTTCTCTTTTGCTTTCCTTTCTTTATTATCAAGTCCCTATTCCGCAGAGTAAATCTTTCTTCTCGTCGTAATTTCAAATTTAAAGAAGCATGGCGCCGCCAGAAGTCTTGCGGAAAGATCTCATCATGTTGGACCTCTTTGTCAACTCCAAAGGTTCAAACCATGCCGTTCCTGTCACAAACTCATCAAATCTGTCCAATGTTTTTCCTTTCATTCGAAGTGTTCATTATTTTGTTGTTTCTGATTTTAGGTTGCACGTGTTTAATTGCTTCATTAGATATAACTGAAACCCCCTTCTAATAGTTCTGCTATGAATTGCTTCCCGTGCTTGAATTTGCAAACGGCTGTTTGTTTTCTTTTTCGATTAGAAATGCGATTCCTCTTTCTGATGGATTTCAGGATATTCTAAGAATAATTTTTCTCTCGGGATGGATTGCAGGAGAAAATGTGAAGTCCCGAGGAATTGCTATTGAGAAGAAGATTGAATTACTTGAAAACTTGGCTGGGAAAGTATTGTCCTCAAACTCCATAAGATATTTGGGAGGAGATACATGTTTGCTTAACTGAATTTATAACATTTTATTTTAACGCGAAGCCGTATTTCTTTGCTAACTTGTGCTTTTGGGATTAATTTTATATGGGTCTACTGTATTTTATATCCATAGACAAGCTGTTGTACTGCAAAATCCAAGGTCATGGTGCAATTTAACTTCTGGTTTTCAGGAGCATAACTTTGTTACTGCAGCATAACTTCAGTTTCACTATGTTACATTGGGAGGTGTAGGCATCTGAATCTGAATGTGTTATCCTTAATCAGATCCTGCGACTTTAAAGATTGAGGCTTTATTGACTGATTTCTATAAATGCAAATCGATAGATGTTTGCCTTTATCATTTTTCTAAGTCAAGTAGTTGGCTTGGTTTTGTTGATATTTATAAGTATTCACATTTGGGATTGGGAAGTTAAACAAGCATTTGAGTGGTGTGGCTTCTGAGGGGAAAAGGGGTATCTATCAAAGTTTCTATGATGGGAAGTGTGGTTGAAAAAGATTATTTTTTTTACCAAAGTTTTTGTGGTTTTAGATGACCTTTTTTCTTTTGGAAATGATTGATTCCAACTTCCAATATAAAATATTCATCTCAGGTCAGCAACCGAAGATCTCGCCGATGGTTGAACGACCGTTTACTGATGGAACTTGTTCCTCGCTTGAATGCACAAGAAATCAGAGGGTTGTTTGCTCCCCCACCTTTTGGTAAGTGATATCCTGAAAAATTTCCCTTGCTAATTTGCTATTAGTTTGTAGCCACATCATCATTTGACATCTTTCAAGTCCATCTTTTAGGGCAGGTGTATTGTGTATGGATATTTGTATATTTATTTTAATGAAACACTCTCCAAACATCCATGGACTGTAAACAAAGTGCACGGACTTCTGTTCATGACCTTTGTGCGAACAATATATAATCCAAACCAAACATCACGATAAAAACAAAAACTTTTCTTTTTTTTGCCAACAAATAAAATGCTGAAAAATTATGGAGTATTAGTTTTCATTGCTGGCATTTTATAGATCTGTTGTCCACATATGAGTTGCATGACTCATTCTCCATTCATAAGCCTTCTCTCTTTGTTGATCTAATGTTTGAAAATCATCCTTTTTTCTAAACATATTTGAATTTATTTTGGTTTAAAAAAGCCAATAAATTTGTACTTTTTTTTGTTATTCTACATTTTCCTCAGTGTCGCTTGTCAGTTTTCTTCTGGTTTGGAGAAAATTCATCTGGTTCCACATTCACGTCAAAGAAAAGTGTGTAGTCTTGAAAAATGCTAAAACTAGTTCTGCTTGTGTCTTTAATGGTAATGGTAGTGCAAATTAATGAAATTCATGTGATCCTGAGGCCATTTCTTCTGTTTCTGATACATCAATGTTTCTTCACACGCTTATATTAGGGAAATATAAACTGTGTTTTGTAGCTATAAAAGTTGTACTTAGTTTGCAAATGGTTATCTTTTGAGTCACTTTGATGCAACAGTCAATAACAAATCCAGTATTCACTTTAATACACAATACAACAACCCCGTAGAGTCCTACAAAAGTAGGGTCTGGGGAGGGTGTGTGTAAGCAGATAGTACCCCTACTTGAAGTCAGCATTTTAATAAACAATGAAAAATAAAATTCTAGTATGAACCCTTTTTGAGTTTTTTTCGTCCGTTAGCTAACCATTAATATGTAGCCAAGATTCATGTCCAACAAGATACACCATCCGGTCATGGGAGAAGATTGTGAATAAATCATTCATTATTATTTTTCATTCTTCAACTCCTTATTGCAGATCCTAGCTATTTTTGAATATGAGTTCTTAAGATGTTTATGGATTTTTAGAATTTTGTAGTGTATACATCTGAACTAAAAAACTTCATGATATTCCATAAAAGTGTCAGTAACTCCATATAAATTACACCCTGTTAATTCCGATTCTGTAATAAGCGTGAGTCATCTAGGTGACTAACACCTAGTTTGGGATTAATTTAAGTTTCACTGGATCTAAGTGAAATTAGGTGTGGCTATGCAGCCAACAATCCCTAGTTATTCAAGGGGATTCTAGTGCCTTCCTAGCACTTAGAAAAGGATCCATCAAGGTTCGGCATGGATTTTTACAACAATGACAATTTTTCTATGTTTTTTAATATTACTATTGAAAAAAATACTATGAAGCACGGATGCTTCAAAAAACAGCCACACGAACCCGGGTGCGGGTGCGGCGGGGTACTTTTTTTAAATGAACAACTGGGTAGTTTTATAATGTGTTTTATATTTTGGGTGTGGCTCGGTTGTTTTGAGACATTTTATGTGGACTGTGGTTTCATGTTAACTTTAATGGCAATTTGAGACTTGTATTATGTTTTCTATCTATTCTGTGGGATGTTATGTGTTTGATTTATTTAAAATAAGGACAACTGTTATATTTTGAACGTAAATACATTTATCTTACGAAGAAATAAAGAATACAAATAAAAAAATGTATAAGCCGCACCTCTTCTTTTTTTTTTTTTTTGAAAATTTCCTTGCCCGCGCACTAGTCGTGCACCCGCACCGGTAGACGCACTCGCTCCTTTGCTTCATAGAAAAAATATATTACTAATGGAACTGTTTTTAAAATTAAATTTACAGGTGATGATTCGCCCCCCTCACCATTTTGCATGACGTATAGTAGAGAGTGGGACAACTTCAGGAGCATTGACATGGACAAAGAGGTACTAATTACTTTATTCCTTTTATGAAAACCATCCATACATGTTGACAGATTTTTGTATGTTTTTTTATTGCATGGACTTTTCATTTATTTATTCAGATCCTATTTAATTTTTGAGCTAAAAGAAAGTTATATTTTTGTCTCGATAAGAAAAGGATTAACTTCTTGTGGAATGAAGAGAGTATATACATGTGGATGTGTGAATAAATTATGAGGTCTAATAAATTATTCTAACTATTTTCTATGCTGGTGCAACAATTTTTATTGCACTTCTTTTACGAGACCTTAAGATTTATTCTCTTTTTTTTATTATCTATGTTATGTTATTATAATTTTGATACAATTGATTGGCACAATAAATGTAATGCCACTGACCCCAGTTAGTTGGGAATGATGTTCTACAAATGATTACGACATGGGAGTATTTATTATAGAGACAAATGCACACCTTTTATGAATTTGTGGATGTGCTTTTTTTTTTGTGTTTGTAGTTACTAGTTATAACCATGACTTGCTTTGATGTTGATACTTTTTCTAATATATGCTCTCTTCGTTCCAACTTCCAAATGATTTGCATATTCCTTTTTTGGATGTCATAAAGTGAAGCTTACATTTTTTCACTTTCCCTTTTAAGAAATGAATATGCGGCTCTTATGATTTCGCTCTCCTAAATGAATTTCAACCACACTTTCCACTTATCACCCAACACCTTTCATTTTTCAACAAATATCTTACAATATGTGAAGGTCTAGTGTAAACTTCATTTTAACAGTGGGAGAAATTTAATCCCTTGCCTATACCTTTTTCTATTAGGCTACCATGATGGAGGCCCTCAAAGTTTCTGTATCAAAGCAGAAGCGCGTTGCTGATAATGATAAGGTTGCAGTATTAACTGCGTGGCATAGAGTGGATTGTCAAACAAGAAAGGCGCTTCGTCGTAGTTTTCTTCCAGAACTGATCAATAATTATGAGGTACATCTGAGAATCATGTGTCATATGCATTTATCTTTTTATCTTGATGTGAATTTTTGTGTTTTTGAAATGTTGAGTAGCTTTTTTGGCTGTTAACTATATGCACACACTGCCAGTACCAGTATTTGTTACCGAGTATTGTTTAGTGCATAGAACTTAAGTTCTGAATCACACAGTTCCATTCCAAGTGCCCAAGCATTTTTACAATTACCACATGTTTTGTTTTGTGTGTTGTTATACTCTGTAGTTCTCAGTGACAATGGAATAAACTTTTTAGGAATGTCTTCGAATATTTATCAAAGAGAGCAGTGATGGCGATGTCCTAGAAGTCTGTGTTCAAGACCCTTTCCAGCGTTTGTTACTGCACGGTGTTTGTGAGGTACAAAATGGCTTTGATTTATTTAGACAAAAAGTCTGGCCTTGTAATTACTTTCTTAATGACTCCTAATTTGTTTAACCACAGTTCTACAACATGGTCTCGGTGACAGTTGTCACACAATCAGAAGGCTCTGAGACGGCAAGGATAACAAAGATAAAGAAGAAGGGGGATGACATAAAACTCCCAAACATTACCCTCTGCAACTTCCTGAAAATGTCAAAAGCTGGGATTTGGTGATTTGTTACCTCTTACCATTTCTTGTTTGTGCATTGTAATATTTGTCATTCAGATAATCAAGTGTGTGTACTACTTCTGCTTTTGTTGCTGCTGCTGCAAAAAGCAGGGTTATATTTATATATATCCATTTGTCTGACTTTAATTCTTTTAAATGTCTGGTTTCCATGGGAGGTTGGCGGTGGCAGGGAGTGACTTTTGTAAATAATGATTGATACCGAGTACTTAATAAATAAGGGTATCACCATTATTTAATCCAACGACTGAAGCTTTATGTTGATTATTATTGTAACTGAACAATGAATAACCAAGTCGCATGCACAATACCTCCCTTTGTCAAGAGAATTCGTCTAAGATGACTATTAATCCCAAAAAAGAGTTGTTTATTAGCTATTCACTGGGTCAATCTTTTGTCATTCTCTGCTTTATTTTCATTAATCACTTTATAAAGAGTAAAATTTATTATTGCTAGTTTATAATAGAGATTTTCCATATTTAGTCATGTATTATTAAATATTATGTTCGTGCTTCTTTTATGGGTATCTTTTTACAAGTATAAAATTTTACAATAATCATATATCCTTCTTGCCATTCCTAGTTAGATGTTGTTGTTGATGAGTCCTTTGTCAATTAGAGATGTTCTTCACCTCAACCATAGTATACAAATGTTACTTTTTGTTAGAATTCTAATCCATGGTATAGTTAGTATTGATGTGTTGTCTGTCAAGTCGATATCTGAACACATAGCTAGATATATGTTCAATATGAAATTACACTTTTAACTTATTATTAGTGTTATTTTATGATATGGTGTGATTTACTTTTTACACAAATATTTTTGTATTATACCTTTGTTTCAGAGGATCTTTCTAAATGCAAAAATAGTGAGTGTATTTGGCTTATATATCAAGTGTTCCTCTGTAACATCAAAGACGTATGAAAGGAGCCCCTAAATAGGACATACCCTTAGGGTCTGTTCTTTAGGACTTGAATTCTAAGCTTCCAGTTTGTTCCAGTTCCTTCTAGTTTTTTTTAGTTTCTTCTAGTTCCTTTCAATTTTTTCCAGTTTCTTCTAGTTCCTTCCAATTCCTTCCAGTTTCTTCCAGCTTTTTTTATTTTCTTCAAATTCTTTCTACTCCTCAACCAATTACTCTGAAAATGATATATTTCAATGTGATTATTATTATTATTATTATTATTATTATTATTATTATTATTATTATTATTATTATTACAGCTGTTATATTTATAACTTTAATTTATAAATTATTTTTTTCATCTCACTATTTTTACGATTCACAATTATTATTTTTTTCTTCAACTTTTTAATATGAATATGACATTTTTTGTATATTAGTCTACATGATAAAACATGAAAACATCAAGATGTTAAATTATGCTAAAAAATTATGGATAAAATAGTTACATTGAATGTTTTAGAGTAAATTTCATAATTGGTCCTTTATAAGAGGGGGGTTTCCATATTTAGTCCTCTATTATCAAATATTACCACCGTAGTCCTTTTTTTAAGGTTACCTTTCCACAAATGGTCTTTTTTTATCTTCTGCCATGTTGGTGTTAATTTAAAGCCTAAAAGTATAATTTGACATCAACATTATGTCTATTGATGTGTTCTGATATTGGTTAAGCGGATAATACAAAAATAATGACTATGATTGTGGGCTAGGATTCTGACAAAAGACCACATTTGTAGACTATAGTTGTAGTAGAAAACGACTGTAATTCACAAACGACGTAAATGGAATAGTCTTTAGAATTGTGTATGACAAAAAAGATATATTATCATTGTGAAATTACACTTTTAGCCCTCAAATTAACACCAACATGATAGAAGATCAAAAAAGGACAATTTGTGGAAAGGTACCCATAAAAGAAGGACTCTTGGGGTAATATTTGATAATAGAGGACTAAATAGGGAAACCCCCCAGTTATAAAGGACTAATTATAGAATTTACTCAATGTTTTATTAATATAACTTTTTATAAGACATCTCAGTTTTCCCTTTATTACTTAAAAATTGCTCATTTTTCTAAATTTTATAAAAAAAAATTGTAAGTCAAAAGAGCTTAGAGAAAAAGACTAAAATATGAGCAAAACATAAAAAATGTAAACAAAAAAGTTCTATGTCTTAATTCCAAAAATAGGAATTCAATGAAAATAAAATGTCAATCATGAAAGAAACAATAGGTTTTATTATGTGACATGTATGATATTTAAAACAAAATGTTTTAATATATAAATTATAATTACAAATACATTATTTATAATAAATACTGCATAAATAAATTGAGGTGCAATATAACTACACAGCCTTTTTAAAATTTAATATTTTTATATTTATGCTAACTTTATATTATAATTATGTTTTGTAAAAGTAGTTTTTTGTATTTAAAAAATAACAATACTTTATATTATAATGATTATGTTGATGATGATGATGATGATGATGATGATGATGATGATGATGATGATGATGATGATAATAATAATAACAATAATAATAACAATAATAATAATAATAATAATAATAATAATAATAATAATTTATAACAACAAGAATTTAAAATAAATATTTTTAAAGTTTTTTTAGGTTTTCTAGTTTTTTCAGTTCCTTCTAGTTTTATCCAGTTTCTTCTAATTCCTTCCAGTTTTTTCCAGTTCCTTCCAGTTCTTCCAGTTCCTTCTAGTTTCTTCCAGTTCCTTCCAGTTCTTCCAGTTCCTTCTAGTTTCTTCCAGTTTTTTCTAGTTTCTTCCAGTTCCTTCCAGATTTTTCCAGTTTCTTCCAACATCCAGCTCTATTTTTACATTCCTAAAGAACAGATCCTTAGTTAATTCATATAGAAATGATATACTTGCAATAGCTACTGTAAAATATATCAATTATTCAATATATTTAATATTATATATTATAATTATGGTTGTTACCTATTATAGTTAGAATTATTATTATATAATATTACCTTATATAATTAGCCATTAATGTGGAGGATTTTAGAATATATTCATCCATCTATAAATACATACTACGTATTCCTTTTCTATGATTCAATCAATAAAGCGTTATTTGTTATTTTACATGGTATCGGAGCCATCGTTCTTGGTGACCTAAATTTCTTCGCTTTTGCTTCTAGCGGGCGGCAACGCCATTAACTGCCGCCCGCCGGATCACTGTTTTCCTCTGACCCAAATTCTTCACCATCTCCTGAAACTACAAAGTTTTCTAGTTTTTTTGTTGCCCGACTACTTTAAAAAAAAGAAGAGGTCTAAACCAATTCCTACTCCACCAAACTACCGGCCTCTCCTGGCGCCAAGATTGCACCTGTTCACTCGAGAGTAATATGAGGCACAATTAGTGGGTAGATCTTCGGTCAACACGCATCTCCGGCATTCCTTATGTTTCTTCTCTAACCCAGTCGCGCACGACTCCAGCGCGCGTCAACCTTCTCCCTCTTTCGACGTCAGCAGCATGAGTCTGTTCGCAGCGGCTTTTCTCCTCTCCTCATGAGCGCCTTCACATCTCTTTCCTGGCAATCTTTTTTCTTCTCTTCTAGGCCGGATGCATTCAGGCTACTCTAGCCGAAGATATGCCTCTAGCTTCTAATTACAATTCTGGTTATGATTCAAGTAAAGTTAGCGTTCAATCTTCACCATTCAGGACGTTGGGAGCATGTTAAATATATCAATTATTCAATATATTTAATATTATATATTATAATTATGGTTGTTACCTATTATAGTTAGAATTATTATTATATAATATTACCTTATATAATTAGCCATTAATGTGGAGGATTTTAGAATATATTCATCCATCTATAAATACATACTTTGTATTCCTTTTCTATGATTCAATCAATAAAGCGTTATTTGTTATTTTACAGCTACCTATTAATTGTAAGTACCTCGTTTCTTATTTCTTGATCTTCAAATCTAATTTTATAAGTATTTTTATGTAACTTAGTTTTTGCACGTATAATTTTTATTTTTTAATTTTACATCTGTTTTTTATTATAAAATGAATTACAAATAACTTAAGTCCAATTACAACATTGTCATGCACAACAAGAAAATAATCTGTGTCTAAGATATATGATTTCATTCAAATATTGTAAATTTGTAATGTTAAAGAAACTTCTTACTTTCTTTTTTCGTCCATACCAAAAATTTCGTTTTAAGAAAAAGATTTCTAAATTTATGTCTAAGAAACATTTTCTCCTCTTAACTAATGCTAACATTTTTTTCCTTTTTAATATTTATCTTGAGCTCCATAAAAATTATATTGAGATGTTTTTTAATGAGATAGAGGGGTATATGGTCCGATTGCATATCGGTTTAGATAGCTATTATAGCGACGACAATGGCGAGGCAATTGCCTGTCATGTCCTGCAACATCATCATAACTCTGCTTTTGCCTCGCGTGGCTAGGCTGTTTTGCCATGCTTAGCATGACATCCGTGAGGTTTTTTTTAATTTTTTAATTATTTTTTTTGTACAAAAATGAAGTTTTTTTAAAAAGTGAGTACATCTATTTTATAAGTAAAATAACTTTTAATAATTAAAATATGTTAAAAAAGTGTAAAATTTGACAAACATAACGACTTGTCATTGAAAAGAATGTCACTCCACTCATTTGCCACACGCTAATTAAATTGATTTTGATTGATTAAAATAATTCATGTCATCGTCTGACATTAAATTTTTTACGTACCATCACACATGCTCTTACTTTATACATATTTTGATTTAGATAAATTTTGCATATGATGATTATTGGTTCATATATATTTCGAGAACATACATACATACACTACTACAAAATGACCTTTTAAATCGGTTATTTGGACCCTTTTAAATTGATTTTTAACCGATCAAAAGCCAGCGATGCAAATACTCAGGTATTTTTTTGCATCGGTTGTTAAAACCGATGCAAAAGCCCTCCGCAGAAGTGGCGCCAATTCTGGGAAGAAGCTTTTTGAATCGGTTATTACCAAATAACCGATCCAAAAGCCCCTTCCCAGAAATGGCGCCATTTTTGGGTAGAGGCATTTGGATCGGTTATTTGATAATAACCGATGCAAAAGATACTCATTTGAATCGGTTATTACCAAATAACCAATCCAAATGCCTCTACCCAAAAATGGCGCCATTTGAAGGGGCTTTTGGATCGGTTATTTGGTAATAACCAATTCAAATGAGTATCTTTTGAATCGGTTATTACAAAATAACCGATTCAAAAAGGTATAAAATTTTGAAAAAGCCAATTTTGTTTGTTCCCGATCCACTCCATTTCAACTTTGCAGAAAATTCAA